ATCTTCACTGCATGGCTGCGCATCCAGATGGAGAATTAGTATAGCGGTTTCAGCGTTTATGAGGCCGTAGGTCTGTCGCCGATTCTTAACATAGCAGAACATTCACAACTTGTTGCGGTCTCGAACTCACAACTCACTGGTCCAATTCTGCTCTGCTTAACCGCCCGGCCTCCTCGCCGAATCTGACCAGAAACTGTCGCTGGGATCGAACCCGCGCCTCACTGCGCCAATCTTGGTACTCTGAACTGAAACCACTGGGCCACCCATCAACTGTTGCATAATGGAATATTACGTTACGTCCAATAAACACGCTTCAACAGGCGGCAAATCATTCAACGTTCATTTTAAGCGCTGTTCAACCAGAAATCTTCAGTAGCCGCCGTATCAATTCAGGACAGTTTAGAACCCATGCTAGCTCTCGGAAACAACTGTAATTCACTCAAAACGACCGCTGCTCTCCCGTAATTACTTACAAGAATTGCCTGGCATTCTGATCATATTTCGTGATAGCGATAAAACCTGCAACAAAGAATACATCGGAGTTGGAAGCCGCGTTCCAAGAAACGAGAGCGGACGTCACAGGCAGCGCTGCCGCCCGGCTGCTTCCTTGCTATGCCAACAGAGAACTGCTGAGCGCTGGCAAATCCTGTCTGATGCAAGCAAGTTCTGAGGACCTTTCGATGACGCTCATCAAGCGATGTTCTACGATGCCTGTTACGTGTTTCTTGCGACGAAATGTGGGATACTGGACTGGGAGACGAACAACACGGGCGCCAGGGGACTTACATGGGTAAGGGGACGGACCACACGGGCATCAGGGGACTTACATGGCTAGGGGGACGGGCCACACGGGAACCAGGGGTCTTGCATGGCTGGGGGGACGGGCCACACGGGCACCAGGGGACTTGCATGGCTAGGGTTTCAAGCCATTTTACAAAAGTATGCGTTAGTCAGATGATAATTCTGCTGTACTAAAATATTTCTAGTGTCACCATATATTTATTATTTCCACGACAATTGATAATATGTACTTTATCATCAGTTCTTAAGTCTTCAAACTACACTTCACCTTTCACCTTGACGAAACTGTCCTGGCCTCACCCAAAGAATTAGGCTTTGTTATTAAATTTTCATAAAATTTACCATGAAAAATGTGCAATGTGTTCTAATAAATTTTGTCATTCGCCAGAATAAATGTGCTTTGCAAGAGTCGAACGCTCTGTGCAACCTCGTCGATCTCTTAACGTATTCTTCCGTGTTCAATATAATCTTTGTGTCTGCTACATGACAATTTAATACTTAACGCTTCTTGACAAGTCCGTCCAACTTTAAATATTTTTTGTTGTACTTGCATGTTGTCAATGCCGAATCATTGAATATGTCGCTCGCGCTGTATTAAACCAACAACGTTTGCGTCTCACGGAATTTACAAAATTCGAGTGGACCTTCCCACAGAACAGGAAAAAACTATTTAAATTGGTGTGAAATTGGTGTAAAATATTTTTTTGACTAATGGCAAACAAAGATCAATATAGAAATATATATAAATATGATGAACAATAAATATATTATTCATTTATAACAATCGAATCGCCAATAAACTGTATCAACTTACGTTGCTTTACAAAATGTCTTAAATGAATGCAGAAAGCAAATCAAGATACTACGGAAAAGATACAAAATATTGTTTGTCCAAGAAGACGGCTGAAGACTGAGAAAAAGATTGACCCATGACTCCGCTAAAGCACTTGGTTAATGTTTGCCGGCACGCATAATGTTCTGCAATATTGTTTCACGATATTTTTGTTCTGTTTTAGGAATAAGCTATACATGACTGAGCTGCTGAAGCCTTTAGTGCAATATTGTTTTGTCGAGCATGGAGGGAAATGCCGAGGTTGCGTTTTTGTAACCTATGGAAGCTAGACTGGCCATCCGCTTTATACTGTATTACTGGCTAGAACTACACGCGACGTTAGACTCTTACATCTCAAAAATCAAGCAATTAACTTTCCAACTACGCAAATTATGTAAAGTTTTGTTTCGTTAAAAAAATTGTACAAGTACAAATTTCTAAACTAAAACAATTCATTCATTTGGTGCTAAATCATGGAAGATGGTATTACCGAAAATGAAATTCTGGAACGGCTGAAACACTGAAAATTTTATAACCCTATTTTGAATGTCCTAATTGATATCAATGCAATTAATGTAGCCACTGCGCATTTGAAAAGTGAATGACTTCCTCGAGTAAAAATTTCGAAACGGATTAAGTATTTTCTACAAAACTCATAGATCCTTGTTGCAGTTGGAAAATAAAGGAATATCTTGAGTAAGGTGATTTTCGGTGTATAATCGTGCAATAATAAACTAAAATGCAATAATAAAACGGCTGAATCTGTGCAATTCATGCAGCCATTGCGCAATCGGAAAGTGAATTTTGTGAAATTACATGAATGATCAGCACCCTATGATGAGTATTAGCTCGGTTATACTTTGAGTATTTTTATGGTGACGCAATTAAATTTGTTGTGAATTCATCTTACACATCCTTTTGTGTTCGGCCGTTTCTATAATGGTCTAGCAGGATGGCACAGCTTTCACTTGACTTTGCTAAGCAAGATATTTTATCAAATTCTTAATTATAAGTCACGGCTATAGCGAATGCAATCTTCAATTTGCATGCATTTTATGTTAAGGGGAGCCAGAAAAATTTCCTTGATATTATCTAATGAAATATTTTCAAAGATTTTCAGTGTCGAATATTTCTGAGTCAAACGTCAAACACGAACTACTCGTATAGTCAATATATCTTGCTTTCGTTTCTGAAGACAATGTCCATCTAAAATTTCACGCTTTTGATATTATCGAAGCACGGCCATGAATCGGTTATTGTTCCTACGTTGGATTATAGCGGCCATAAGCACAAATGGAGTAACGTTCAGTTGGCCGTTTTTTGTTTGTGAGCTTCACGTTAAAATATAACCACGCTCCATGACTGAGTATTGAGTATGCATGAATACTGGCATTGAATACTCCGTCTATACAGAATGTTTCATCACCTTTCACACCATTCGTAAGCAAAGTCTAATTGCCACGTTCAATCCTAGCTTCTACTAATAAGGGTCATGTTGATTTTTTCAGTCAAATTCTGTTCGTCAGCGGATTAATTACTCAAGCACTTATACCTGCGCATGCAACTGTGAAGTTCGCCCTCTAATTAAAGTTTTTTTTATATCCTGGTCGAGAAATGGTTGCACAAGTTTAACATTGGAAAGAATGGGATTGAAAATGAAGCGGCACTTTCATAGGTTTTATAATAGAGAGCAGACGAATTAACGACAATGAAGACAGATTAAACAAATTAAAGGCACATCAGAAAAATCACTGACAAACAGCAGATGAGTTACTGACAAATCTGGTTTAGAGAGCGGACATATAACTGACAGTGAGCAGACAAATTAATGACAACGCGGAAAAGGGCAGTCAAACTAATGGAAGCTTACAGATACCAGTTGTAAGCTTTCCATTACTGAAAAGCTGATAACGAGCTCAATATTCCGGCTCGTTAAATAATGATTTGAAGAAATATTTTCATTTCAAGCTTTCCTTTTTGTGGGTGACTAGGAGTACAATATACCCAAGCATCAAATACATAATACAGAATTTCAACTGCACTTTTACGGACGGAAAATTGAGATATGATCATGGGCATGGCCCATGATAATTAATTAAAAAGCGTACAAGGCTTCGTATGCTAATTGTATGCCCTTAAAGAAATACTAGTTTTAGGGCACGCAATTTGGATTAAAACCTACATTGATATTGATTTTTCTGCAGCTGAATGCTGACCTGCACAGTAGATAAACGTCAATTCATGTGAAAAGAAAGAAGAATGACGTTCATTTCTGTTAGTACATTTATAATGCAGCTACGATCAAACGATTCATATATACGATAACTATAGCTTTTGATTTGACTAAAAACAATTATAAAATATAACAATAGAAAATTTTAATGTCGAAACTATCTTTACTAAATCAGGCCCTCCGCGAAATAAAACCCGGATATTGGGTCAAAAAAGCGAAATCAAAAATTCGCTCCCATAGTAGCACTAGCCTTCAAATAAAAGTAAATCACGTTTTGCAAGTATTCAATTTTTATGCAGTAGTTGGTTCATTCCTTCAGCTCGTCGTAGACAGCACTAATATCCCCTCTCTCGTGCCACCCTCTCAGAGAAACAGAGCACTTGTTAGCACTGTGTAGGGCGTCCTTGTGTTTGAAGTTCAGAGTCCCAAGATTGTGGGTTTGATCCCAACTTTATTTGACAGTTCTTGTCAAAGTTGGCGAGGTGGTCAATTAAGCACAGTTGATATATGGGGGCAGTGTGTTGCGTGTTCGAGAACCACAACAAGCTGTGAAAAGTTGTGCGACGTTCGGTATCGGCGACAGGCGTGATGACCCAATCTTCTACAATGACCTCACTATAATAGAATATAAGTGTCGGCACTGAAGAAATAGGCCCATGGCCTGTTGCCGATTCTTGAACTTTTCGTGACTACATCCCACAAGGGATCCGGCCTTTTGAACCCGATCTTTCCATAACTGATGATTGATTGAGATAGCTGCTGGACTTATTGTCCAGGTCCGTAATTTGCTAGGCATTTTAAGACTGTACATATGCTCCTGAATAGCTTCGTCTAGTCTGTTCTTGAAGGCGTTCATACTCGGAGCGTCAACGATGCTATCAGGGAGGCTGCTCCACATGTCGCTGACTCGAAGCGAGAAGAAATGTTGTCGCATGGATGTGTTACAACGCAGTTTTTTTAGTTTATAGCCGTGGCCCTTACCTTTTCAAATTCTAGTAATCTTTCTGGAACCTTGTATAAACCGTGGGTTTACTTGTATACTTCAATAAGGTCACCACGCAGACGTCGATAACAGAGGCTTGGAAGCTTCATAATCTCTAACCTTTCTTCATAAGGCTTGCCTTTTAATCCCGGCATTATCTTTGTTGCACGTCTTTGAATATTTTCGACTAAATTTTTGTTGTATCACTATCGTGTCCAGCAATCAACAAAGGCAACGAGGTATTTGCAAAGCGTTTCAAATATTCTACAATATAACATTAAGGAAACATACGTCATGGAATTTAAGGGATTAATGGTTCAATTTTGAAGCCTCCTTGTAGAGATAGATGGTTGGGGATGGGTTTGTTGGCTTCCGTCATGCGCTTGATGACCATCTTCTTCTGGCTCAGCCTGAGCTTGTCCAGGTACAAGATCTCCCCTCTGGTGACGTCTTCACACAGCTGGTCGTTTGACTGACTCTGGTAGCCTATTGCCTAGAAAAAACAATAAAAAAATTAATAGAGACCAAGGAAAGGTAGCTTTGGAACGAATTGTACATTGTAAATTTATTTTATTAATGCACATAAGTTTTATTAATCGATATTATTAATTTTTCCAATTAAAGACACAATTCCTTATGGCTAGGGTACCTGAGATGTCAGTGTTAACGCAAATATTTTATTGGCTAAACAAAATAAATGTACTGTAAATTAAACTATCAATAATATTCATGGAGGTAACTTCACTAACTGCAAGATCGCAGTTAGAAATTGGCTCTGTTAACTTCCTTCAAAAACCGATTACTTTACATGTGCATATGGTTACATACGATTGTACAAATAAAATAAATGCAAGGGATCCATAAAATAAATGCAATACGGATCCATTATTTTGCTCGCAGAGGAGCAAAAAAAAATCTCCAACTCATCTACACGTAAACGAATTATAGTCTCATAATTATTCCTACCTGAAATTCATTACTATTGAATTCACATTGTATGATATAATATCATTAAATTCAGGCTGTATTATTTCTACAAGTACAGCACAACAACCTGCAACATACGAGGGGCATCCGGAAAGTAGTACCCGTTTGGGAATTGAACAAAAGGAAGTAAATATTAACAAATATAAACATGTTTATTGAAAAGAACATGTATTACACTACTTCTCTACATAATCTCGGGAGAAATTTAAGCATTTGTCGTATCGTATCACAAATTTTTGTATACCAGTGTCATATTCCTCCGCCGCCAGTGTATTGAGATGCGCAGTCACGTGTTCTTTCAGTTTTTCGTCATTTTGAAACTTTGTCCCTGCCACGAAGTCCTTGAGTTTCGTAAACAGATGAAAATCTGAAGGTGCCAAGTTCAGACTGTAGGGTGGATGGTCGACAATTTCCCACTTGAATTTTTGGAGAAGTTGTTGTGTTATTCGAGCCGTATGCGGCCTGGCATCATCGTGCAGGAGAATGACGCCAGTAGACAACAGACCTCGCAGTCGATTTTTAATTGCCCGCCGTAATTTTTTTAATGTTGCACAATATGCATTGGCGTTGATTGTGTCTCCACGGGTCATGAAATCAATGAGCAGTACACCTTGCCGATCCCAGAAACACTGGCGGCGGAGGAATAAGACACTGGTATACAAAAACTCGTGACACGATACGACAAATGCTTAAATTTGTCTTGCGATTATATGTAGAGAAGTAGTGTAATACATGTTCTTTTCAATAAACATGTTTACATTTGTTAATATTTACTTCCTTGTGTTCAATTACCAAACGGGTACTACTTTCCGGATGCCCCTCATATAAATCAAAGCAACTGTTTCCACATTACTTACGTTGTTATTAATTTCATGGGGAACCTGCTTAAAGTCACAGAACTCTTGTTTCCTAAGGGACATGGAGTTGTACTCGGCGATGTCTTGCACCATCTGCTCCTCGCCGTACAGGGCGACCAAGTCGTCCAACTTGTGGAGGAAGTGAGAATAAAGTTTGTAGTCCGCGGCGAGCCTTTGCCGTAAGAGCTTCTCGGTGGACGAATCTAAGACGACTTCTTTGTTGGTCTGCTATGAAATGTAAGTTGTGAAAATATCAGCGAACGTGCTTATTATGATATTAATTAATAAATGAATTATAATCTCTCTTTTTTAACCCCCTAATGACACATATGCCCACTTACCTTAGCTGACACTGTACCTGCAAATCTAAGTGTCTGTGGTAACATTTAAATCAATTTATGTCGATAATAAAAATCAATAATAATAGATGCATATCAGCAACAAACGTTCAAGACTTAACAAAGAAATATTTTCAATCGAAGATGCGCGGAAGCCAGATTTGGGAAAACGTTATTGCAGCCGCCGTATTTTGGCATGTCTTGTGCAGTTCCAACTACGGAAAAATTTGCTATTGAAAATTAGGCAATGCTTCTGTTTCTCAGTTGAAATGTCTTGCGACTGTTTACAGCGACAGAACCTGTAACGTACTCACACTCTTTGGTAAGAAACTATTCCCTGAACTCTAGTACCAACTGATTAATTTTTTCGAATATTTCTATCGAAATATGGATGTGTAGTAAGTGTAATTGTATCATTCTATTTTTTCTTAAATTTAATGCTTTTAATCTGTTTTCAGGAACCATATGTTGAATCAAGAGAAAACCTGAACAAGTATTCTACATCCTGGATGCGTAAACTTTACATCGGCAGAAAGAAAGGCGAAAGGCGTCAAATTATTTGATCTATATTAGAGGTCGTCTTTAGTCATAGTCACTAATATTACAGGTGCATTACAATGCGAATGCATCCCCATTGCAGACAGCGCCCGAACTTCCGCACATTACTTGCGTGAACAATATTCTTTAAACTATTAGTCCATTCTCTCATTTTACTACTGATTGGGAAATGGTCATAATCAATCTTTAAAAATATCAGACATCCACCATATGTGGACTTAACAGCCCGTAAATCATATTGAAGTTAGAACGAATTCCCATGAAAATAACAACGAAAATCTGTTGCTGACAATTCTATTAGGGATGTGAGGATTTACTTCGTCGTCATTGATGTATTAGATTACTCAGCAGTTACCTCAAATGAATTCGATGTCCAACTATTCTATACTAAAGTGGAAAACACAACGAAAACGTTTGGCATCACCTTCTCACTGATATACGTAACTATCTGGGTTATCAATAATAACGGGTTATCAATAATGGGTTATCAATAACCCCTTGGCTATCAATAATAACGTCACCTTGGGCTTGCGAGCGTTGACCTGAAGCACGAAGAGATCGTCCAGCTCGCAGCAGAGGAGCCGACGGAGCAGCATCAGCGACTCTGGCATGCGCTCGGTCACCATCACCAAATCAAAGAGTTTATCTGCCTCGTCCACCTGGAATGCGTAATTTTTAGTAATATTGCATATCTGCATGCGATATCGATATCTTCTCATGTCACTCTATCAATTTATACGCTCGAACTTTCTCAGGTTTTAGAACCGTTCACGGTATAGCCATCTTCTAGTGATTAGAATTTAAAATCTGAGTTGAATTATTATAACGTATCTTGCATCTCACCAGCTCCTGCACGGCCGTCATGTTCTGGAACTGGCCAGCAGGAAGGCCCAAGTCCCAGGTCATCTGATTGTAGCCGATGTAGCCTGACATGCGCGCGTCGTTGGCATGGACGGTCTTGACGTACGTTGTCAGGTTCATTTTATGGAACGCCTGCTTGGAGATGACGATAATACAAACACGAATTAGCTATCTTTTATCCATCATTATTCCGTTTGTTTTTGAGTTACAGTAAATTCACAGGTGGTTATGAAAAATGGAACAATTTTCTCCGCGCATAATTTATTAAGAACACTTTGCATGCTGTCGAGTACCAGATAATTTAAATGTTCTTATGGTCGCTAATGTCAAAGCATATATTGATATACATTCAGATACGATTCATTTTTGCATTACCACAATGATAAACACACCATTCGGATGTAGTAGCTCGTGTATTGAGTATAATGCAGAACTCATTTTATACAAAGAATAACTTACCTCCATGTTTGTGTAGTCGAATAGGGAGATAAATTGCTCGGAAGGCTCCCTGACAATCGTGATGAATATTGTATCGTTCGGCATTATTCGCTTCATCTGTGGTGAAAAAAAAATGCTGGTTCACTTTTCGCAAACGAGTGTCCTGCTACTTTGATATTATTAGGGTAACATATCTAATAATTTTGAAGATTTATCTTCAATTTAATTTCATAATTTGAATGAAATGAAAATAATTGAATAGTTTTTAACAAGTTTGAATACCGGATTTATTTTAAAAAAGAAGCTACATGATTAAATACCCGGTAACTGGAACGTCTTTAAAACCTGAGTCCCGAGAAACTAAAGGGAAAGGAGCCGCTAATGGAGGGAGAGGAGCCGCTAATGAAGGGAAAGTAGCCGCTAATAAAGGGAAAGGAGCCGCTAATGAAGGGAAAGGAGCTGCTAATGGAGGGAGAGGAGCCGCTAATAAAGGGAAAGGAGCCGCTAATGGAGGGAGAGGAGCCGCTAATGAAGGGAAAGGTGCCGCTAATGATGGGAAAGGAGCCACTAAGGGAGGGAAAGGAACTACTAATGAAGTGAAATGAACTACTAAGGTAAGAAAAGGAACGGAACTGAGGAACTACTACTCTATACAACTAAGGAAGTTAAATAAAGTAAGCATAAATTACAGATTAATGATTAAAGTTGATAAGGCAACAAAATTTCATAGGAAATTGGAAGAAATAATTTCAATTTTGTATATGAGTGGAGTTGCTTTTCGACATGGTATTCGTATGAAATTCATACTTGCACAGCACTGGAGGCACATTTGTGGGTTTTGAGGAAGGCAATGTGGCGCTGAGGCGAACAAGACGAGTTCGGCGTGAGCCACGCGGCCCGTGGCATCCTGGAATACATTTGCATTATTTTAGCAATGTAAAGTATTTGAATCAAACTAATTAAATAATATAATACAGAGGAGTTAATATTTTTATTAGTGAGGTGACAAGAGCCTCATCTTTTATGCCGTTGCCCTCAAGCTTTTGCAAACCGAGCTCCGTAAATAGATTGATTTCTTGTAAAGTAATGCGAATCCTTAACCCGACAATTAAGGTACGGCTTCAAAACGGTCAAAGTCAAAAGTTTTCTACACTTGCATTGTGAGATTTTCATCTTATCTCCTGATGGGTTGAGTGATGAACTCAGTTGAGACATCGAAAATGCGTTTTATAAGTTGAAATAGGCGTGTGGGAGAGAAAATATTAAATTGATTATACGACTTCAAAATTGTTGATTCCGCAGTATTTTCGCTTTTTATGATAGAAGCTGATACTGCAAAAAATACGTCATGGTAAGAAAAATAATCCAAATATATTCGTAAAAAATTATTAATTCAGCAGGATTTGGATTTAGTTAAACATTTTTATGGTTTTGTTTAGCCCCAAAATTTAAACTGTGAGCGTCCAGCAGCAAGCTATCCTGTCTCGATTTTCTGGTGAAAACTGAAAAGTTCACTTCGGGAACCTAAGTTGTAATAAATTATCGCAGTTGAAAGTTAACGGCTTGCGTACGACCCGTTTAATTATTTTTATTCGTTATTTAATTTTATAAATAACATAATGATACTAAATTATTCATTAAGTATAACCCAGAGTAATTTAACAGAAGTATCTACAACAAAATTAAATTAATCGAGAATGTTCGAGGGACCGCAGCCCTCACAGTATGGCGTGGTCGCGCCGCTGGCCAGGCTGCCCCCGTCGCGTCCAGCAGACGACCAGCAGCGCCCCGCAGGCCAGCGCCGGCAGCTGCCACCACCTCCGCCGCAGCATGGCAGCTCTCAGGCGCTCATACCATGTCAGAACTTCTCGTACCATCCAGGGACTAACATTAATTTTGAAATATCATATGGGGATAACCGTGAACGTCGAGAAATCGACTTGCCAAAGAAATTAAAATTTATTTATTTTTGCATAGAGTTAAGCGAAAAGCGAATAAACTTGCCCGGAAGAGAAAAAAATATCTAGCTTTGTATACAATGTATGTTGCAGACAAAAACCCAATTGTCATGAGGTTAAAAAAATAATAAANGAGCAGGAGGACGGAGATGGACTTCTTTGGTGCGCAGGAGCTGTTGCCGGAGATCCTGCCTTCTCAGAAACTTGATTGGTGTGTCCAATGTTATTATTATTTACAGGATTGTTGTTGCTAGAGGCGTTTTGATGATGGTTGCCCCGATGGTCTGGGTGAGTTGCCGTTGTGGGGATCGGAGTGACTGCTATTGGCGGAGTATCTGACGATGGAGTGGACGGATTGGACGAAGAGTTTCCAGTCTGTGACGACTGCTGATGATGCGCTTGGCTCTGTAAAAGTAAAGGATTTTGTGCAATTTGTTGCTGATGATTTGGATGATGAGACGCTTGCTGCTGGTGATGGGTTTGCTGCTGCTGTTGCTGATGGGCAGGGGCGATGTAGCCCGTGACGGCAGCAGTGTAGGCAGGGTAGAGGTTCTGGTAGATGCTTGAGGAAGGCTTCACATCGTACGGGCCAGACGGCGCCATCTGGTGAAGAGAACTGCCCATCCTGTTTCGAATGATCCTGTAGGGAAATTATTCGTGAGCTCATTGCAAAATTAATCACTGTTCGACTGTTGGGTTTTACATTAAACTATGATGCTAAAACCACGCAAATTTGAATGTTTGTCCACTTATTTTTTCGTTTTACTTTTACCATCTTTATACTATTTTACCAATCAAAGTGATGATTAAAACACTACTTAGGAGCCTTAACTTGACATAAATTGAGGTCAGTGAGCATAATCCCAATTTGAATGATCGATCAGTTAATTCAACTCTATTTTATTTATCGGTAACGATAATTATTCCTCATATTGTGGGTAAAAACCTCAGTAAATCGTTCTTCTTCCTATAAATAAAGTCAACAATTAATAATTTATAACATGATAGTTTGATAGCAGATATGAAACTCAAGTTACCAGCTGTGCAGGAAAGTGAATACTACATCCATTCCATAATGTGAATACTACGAGCGGCTAACTATGAATAGATACCCACCTTATATCATTAATTTTTTTAATCGCAAGTTCACCAAAATTTAAAGGCAAATAAAACGTCAGTTAAATTCCCTATATCGTTATTGAACACGTTTTCAATAACGATATAGTGAATTTATTTGGCTTTTATTTGCTTCGAAAATCTTGATACCCACCTTGAGATGGATGACACGCTATAGGTAGGTTGTACTTATCGCACACATTAACCTTCAGTAGCTTCTCTGGGACCTCCGAAGCTAATTAACAATCTTGAAGTTGATACCCGCCTTGAGATGGATGACACGCTGGGTACGTTGTACTTGTCGCAAACGTTGTCCTTCAGTAGCTTCTCTCGGACCTCCGAAGCTAATTAACAATCTAGATACCCACTTTGAGATGGATGACACGCTGGGTACGTTGTACTTGTCGCACACGTTATCCTTCAGTAGCTTCTCTCGGATCTCCTAAGTAATTAACAATTTAGATACCCACCTTGAGATGGATGACACGCTGGGTACGTTGTACTTGTCGCACACGTTATCCTTCAGTAGCTTCTCTCGGATCTCCCAAGCGAAGATGCCAGGGTCTTTCTGCTTGATGTTCTTGATGTAGTTGACGACTTTGGGTGTTGTGACTCGAGGCTTGCTGCCGCCGATCGCGCCCGGTCGGTAGGAGCCTGTTTCGTTGTACCTGCACTCAGGAACGTCGATGAGATTATAAATTAATACAGTAAATTTTTATTTGTTTAATTACTTAATTTCCCTCTTGACTTCGTCATTGATCATTGATATAAAAAATTCATGCGATTTTTGTTGTCCAAACCGGAGACTAAAATGGTTCCCCAATGGCGAGTGACCATTTATTGAACAGTAGCATATTCTGAGTATTCGAGCAAACATTTTTTTATCTTCCTTTTTCATAAGTAGGAAGTTATTAACTTCGATTCAAGTACTTATCTGATTTTTGTGTTTATGAATAAAACAGTGGCAAAAATATACGAATTATCATTAATGAATGATCTGAATTTGTTGATCATTACTGAAGGATTACAGGAAGGGGTATTACTGAATCATAGCTACCATGTTAAAGAACGGTTAAATGCTCATTGTAAACTAAATATTGTGAATACCACGAATACCATGATTATTGTGAATACCACGAATAGCATGAATATTGTGACAGTACCGCGAATACCATGAATATTGTGAATCCTACGAATACCATGAATATTGTAACTACCACGAATACCATAAATATTGTGAATACCATGAATATTGTGAATACCACGAATATTGTGAATACCACGAATATTGTGAATACCACGAATATTGTGAATACCACGAATATTGTGAATACCACGAATATTGTGAATACCACTAATATTGTGAATACCACGAATACCATGAATATTGTAAATACCACGAATACCATGAATATTGTGACAGTACCACGAATACCATGAGTAGTTCGGCGGTACCTGGCTAGGATCTTGGAGACGCAGCCATGAGACACTCGGAGCTGGAGTTATCAATAACCCCTTGGCTATCAATAATAACGTCACCTTGGGCTTGCGAGCGTTGACCTGAAGCACGAAGAGATCGTCCAGCTCGCAGCAGAGAAGCCGACGGAGCAGCATCAGCGACTCTGGCATGCGCTCGGTCACCATCACCAAATCAAAGAGTTTATCTGCCTCGTCCACCTGGAATGCGTAATTTTTAGTAATATTGCATATCTGCATGCGATATCGATATCTTCTCATGTCACTCTATCAATTTATACGCTCGAACTTTCTCAGGTTTTAGAACCGTTCACGGTATAGCCATCTTCTAGTGATTAGAATTTAAAATCTGAGTTGAATTATTATAACGTATCTTGCATCTCACCAGCTCCTGCACGGCCGTCATGTTCTGGAACTGGCCAGCAGGAAGGCCCAAGTCCCAGGTCATCTGATTGTAGCCGATGTAGCCTGACATGCGCGCGTCGTTGGCATGGACGGTCTTGACGTACGTTGTCAGGTTCATTTTATGGAACGCCTGCTTGGAGATGACGATAATACAAACACGAATTAGCTATCTTTTATCCATCATTATTCCGTTTGTTTTTGAGTTACAGTAAATTCACAGGTGGTTATGAAAAATGGAACAATTTTCTCCGCGCATAATTTATTAAGAACACTTTGCATGCTGTCGAGTACCAGATAATTTAAATGTTCTTATGGTCGCTAATGTCAAAGCATATATTGATATACATTCAGATACGATTCATTTTTGCATTACCACAATGATAAACACACCATTCGGATGTAGTAGCTCGTGTATTGAGTATAATGCAGAACTCATTTTATACAAAGAATAACTTACCTCCATGTTTGTGTAGTCGAATAGGGAGATAAATTGCTCGGAAGGCTCCCTGACAATCGTGATGAATATTGTATCGTTCGGCATTATTCGCTTCATCTGTGGTGAAAAAAAAATGCTGGTTCACTTTTCGCAAACGAGTGTCCTGCTACTTTGATATTATTAGGGTAACATATCTAATAATTTTGAAGATTTATCTTCAATTTAATTTCATAATTTGAATGAAATGAAAATAATTGAATAGTTTTTAACAAGTTTGAATACCGGATTTATTTTAAAAAAGAAGCTACATGATTAAATACCCGGTAACTGGAACGTCTTTAAAACCTGAGTCCCGAGAAACTGATTTCTGCCGTGTCATGAACAAATTGTCTGAATTTCTCTCCATTTTTAGCGCATTTTCCCATTTATGGAAAAAAATGCACTATTGTGCTCGCCATGTCCGTCTGTCTGTCCGTCCGTCTGTCCGTCCGTCCGTGACCTCAATTTTTCGTCGACGAGAAAATGCGCTCTCTGTCACTCACTTCAGTGAGTACTGAGTTATATTTTTTTGCCATAGGCTAAAACTTTGAGCAAGGTGCGCAGTCTAGTTCATCCGGTATTTTAGGCGAATTAGGTATTTCACGTCACTTCCTCTCTATTATAAGTCACGTCCGATTTGGCTACCGGAGTATTAAAGTATTTAATTTGATTACTTTGGAAAAACGTTTCCGGTCATCAAATTTCAAATGCTTATAGTTCAACTAAACCTTTTTGATGTGGATGGAACAAACTGCCCAAAGCCGATATCATGCAATACAAATATATCTTATACTACAAACCTCAGTGATATTCCCCCTGGAGTGATAAACATATCTCATGATATCTGTACTACAAACCTCAGTGATATTCCACTTAGAGTGATAAATATATGTTATACAGTTATACTACAAACCTCAGTGATATTCCACCTGGAGTGAATAGCGTAGATGTCGTAGCCCAAGATGTTCTCGAACTGCGCGTCGATCATTTCCTTTCTCACGTAGGACCTGCCGCCACCGAAGTAGTTGTGCGAGGGCAGAGCGAAGAACAAGTTGTGTTTCTCGCCGTACCGCAGCAGGATATTCTGAGGAAATTACATGCAGTTATTATATGAGAACTAAGCATATTATTTCCGTAGGTGCTCTCCATTCATATGTATACAAAGTTTCAAACTTAAAATTTGCACAAACTTAATTTTAAAAATGGTCGTCGTGGCCGCCGAAGGGAAAGGAACTACTAAAGAAGAGAAGATAACTACTAATAAAGAGAAAGGAGCCCTTAAAGGTAGAGAATGGAGCCACTAATGAAGGGAAAGAAGCCACTAATGAAGGGAAAGGAGCCGCTAATGGAGGGAAAGGAGCCGCTAATGAAGGGTAAGGAGCCACTAATGAAGGGAAAGAAGCCACTAATGAAGGGAAAGGAGCCGCTAATGAAGGGTAAGGAGCCGCTAATGAAGGGAAAGAAGCCGTTAATGAAAGGAGGGGAGCCGATAATGGAGGGAGAGGAGCCGCTAATGAAGGATGATTTCTTGTAAAGTAATGCGAATCCTTAACCCGACAATTAAGGTACGGCTTCAAAACGGTCAAAGTCAAAAGTTTTCTACACTTGCATTGTGAGATTTTCATCTTATCTCCTGATGGGTTGAGTGATGAACTCAGTTGAGACATCGAAAATGCGTTTTATAAGTTGAAATAGGCGTGTGGGAGAGAAAATATTAAATTGATTATACGACTTCAAAATTGTTGATTCCGCAGTATTTTCGCTTTTTATGATAGAAGCTGATACTGCAAAAAATACGTCATGGTAAGAAAAATAATCCAAATATATTCGTAAAAAATTATTAATTCAGCAGGATTTGGATTTAGTTAAACATTTTTATGGTTTTGTTTAGCCCCAAAATTTAAACTGTGAGCGTCCAGCAGCAAGCTATCCTGTCTCGATTTTCTGGTGAAAACTGAAAAGTTCACTTCGGGAACCTAAGTTGTAATAAATTATCGCAGTTGAAAGTTAACGGCTTGCGTACGACCCGTTTAATTATTTTTATTCGTTATTTAATTTTATTAATAACATAATAATACTAAATTATTCATTAATTATCACCCAGAGTAAGAATTTAACTGAAGTATCTACAACAAAATTAATTAAATTATATGAGAATGTTCGAGTCCGCAGCACTCGCAGGGACCGCAGCACTCACAGTATGGCGTGGTCGTGCCGCTGGTCAGGCTGCCATCGTCGCGTCCAGCAGACGACCAGCAGCGCCGCGCAGGCCAGCGCCGGCAGCTGCCACCACCTCCGCCGCAGCATGGCAGCTCTCAGCCGCTTATACCATGTCAAAAATTATCCCTATATTATGCATGGATTAACGTAAAACTTAGAAATATTACAGGGAATAACCGTGAACGTTGAGAAAGCAGGCTCGCCGAAGAAATTTTTGTTGTTGTTGTTTTTATATGAGGTCAGGATGGCAAGTGCATAACGCGAATTAATTGCTCTCAATGGAAGAGATCTCTTGCTATAGATCTGTGGCAAGCAAAATTAAGTTGTAAAGAGGTTAAAATTAGATAAATCTTTGCAGTTCATCATTATGAATCACAGAAGAGAAGCCAGGCATCAGTTTTACCAGCTTTTGCTTCCGTCGAATTTTATCTCTAAATAAGATGAGCATTTATTACACAAGGCACAACGTTCAAGATCCCACGTTTTCGCTTTCATTGCCTCGATCTTTACGAAAATTATTAACACATAAAACACTTGATTCAAATAATAATCTTGCCTAGAAAAGAAGCGTCACACTGTATCAATAATGCGGTATTTTCACCTAGATCATCAATGAGGTTTTACTGTAGGAGTGTAGGGACCTCATCGCCTTATCTCAACACAAGCTGCACTCCTACTCCTGCCGGCACAACCGCAAGACTGTCACCCTCTCCTCCGACCCTGCCTCACCGGGCGAGTGAAAGTCAACACTGCAGTGTGCAGTTTACTAGGCAAGTCGTAGCTATGAAGATCTCCCTGACAGATCTCATGAAGAGCTAGGTATGCACTTAATTTAATTCGTAGTTTTCAAATACACTCTTAATTTATCCTGTTCGCCTCAGGCTTGTACGCTTGTACGCTTGTACACAATCGTGAGTTACATGGAACATGGGCTCGCCCTGGGAATAATGGACAAGGAGAGGAATGGCTAATACAGTGTGCAACAGGGATCGAATGGGATGTTGGTACAGGATGAAAGAGATGCCAAAGTATGAGTACATATATGATTGCAGTAGAGGTGGAGAACTAATGTTCTGCGTGAGAGTAAATGCTTTGAGTGTGAATGCACGGACATACAGGCGGAGTGAAAAAAGAGAGGGTATTTGTTTTGTGTGTTGTGTTGTTTTGTGTGTGAGAGGGTATTTGTTTTTTGTGCCTCTCAGAGGTGAGAGGGAAACCGTGGAGCATCTGATGATGGAGTGTGATGTATATGAGAGCCTGAGAGGGAGAGACTAGAAATGAGAGTGATAGTTGATGAGAGAAGTGAGTGTGATGGTGTGATGTATGAGCGAACGGGGGATGAATGGATTGCGATGACAGTGGGTCTATCTGCAAGGGTGACTGCTGCCATAACTGAGAGTGGAAAGCAATATTTAGAGATGGCATGGAGAATGAGGAAGAGGTAGAGGAGGTTGGCGAGAATGGTGGCCGGAAGGTCAAGGGTGTAAGGAAACAAGCAGTAATAAAATAAGAATAACTGAATCACTAAGAATTTACTAATAATTTAACGGTAGTTTACCGGTGACTAAAATACTGATTGAAATATTTAATTTAAAATTTCATCAAATATTTGAAAGTACTGTGCTTTAAACAAAAATGTCTCTGCTTTTTCAACATATTCGATAATTCGATCAGAAAAAGAGAGCTGCAATTATTTTGGGGTAGTCCATCAAGAAAATGCGTTTTTTAGCGATTGTAACTCTGTAGAAAATTGTGAAGGGGTGACCCAATTAAAACACTTCCTCATCATGATTCATGTGGTGAATTTTTTTACCTCTGATGGTCAATGCTGTATTGGTCTCGTGGGTAGCATTTATTGTTTCAACCGAAATCGAAATTTCACTTTCGCTAGGTCGAAATTTCACAGTAACCAATTAGTTCCAAACCTTTAATTGTTTGTAGTTGCCTGGCGAAGTAAGGTGAGAAACCATACATCATACATGCTTGTGATTATCCTCAGAAGTCTTAACTCTTATGTGGCCTTCTCATGCGACTTCTATCATATAAGTTAGAAAATGTTTCGTAAGTGTGTGATATAAAGTCACTATTTTTTAGGTTTTATCAAGAATTCTCATTTTCATACGCACGTAAGATCCAGTTCTAATTCCACTATTCCTGATTTCATTCAAACACTTTCAGAAACTTTCAAATTATTTAGCATCGATAGATTGTTGATTGACAGTTACTTTAATTAAACCATATGGCCTAAAAGCAGTGAAGTCCGCTTATAAAAAGGCCTATAATTTAAAATATACTCGTAAATTTGTAGGTTCCAGTGCATAAATTATATTTTGCTTTTTCCGTACATTTTTACATTTAATGATGTAGTCCTGTCATTAGAAATTTTTGTCGACAAACGCTATTGAAGAGAAACTTAATTGCGAAATTTGTCCGGAAAGAAAACTCTGCAACGTACCGGTGTGTCTTGCCGCACTCAACGTGTTAAAGTTTGAATTTAGTTGTTTTGAATATATAATAATCAATGAACAAGTCAGGCACCACCTGTTTTCTACTCGCCTGCGTATACGTAATTTCTGTGGCTATTAAAAAACAAGGGTGACCACTTACAAAACAATTCTGGAACACGGTTCTTAGTCCTAGATTCCACAAACAAATTCTGTAAGGTAGTGCGTGGACTTCCATGAGAGTAAAGTGTTCGTCAATAAATTAATTGAATGTAGAGCGAGGCCAGTGTAGCCCTAGCTGACTCATATGATTTGCTGCTGACTCACTTTACACACTCAAAAGAATGTATGGTTCATGTAGTCCTAATAATGACAAACTCTCTTGTCCACAGCACTAGAGAGGCACACGTTCCCTCTCTTGACGGGCAAAACTGGGTAAGGATGACGAGCTCTAAAAATTCCTTTCTATTCTTACAGTTATTTCTCTGAAGGTATAATGAACCGGCATAAATAAGTCAATTTCTGCCTATTAAATTCAATTTCCCCATAACATTTTTCCTATTTTAGTTAATGCAAAAATATGTGAGGCAAACAAGAGGGCGTTAGAGGACCTCGCTCAGCGCGGCTGACGAAGACCAGACGCACGAGTTCGTGGAGTTCGTCGTGGAATTCTGGTCAGGGCAAAATTTTATGGTCATCCGCGTGTAAAAAATTGTGTCCTCGTATATACAGTTTGAAGTTAACGTTCTTCACATGCCAACCCAAAATTAAAACCGTTTCATAGTCACTGCTGAATTCCACACCCATAATTTTGAAGGCAGTAAGAACAAAATACAAACTTATTCTGACAATAATGATAAATTTTTCAAAAACCTAAGCACATCTTGAATAAAGTTAACATACATGTGGTGTTTTCAAAAGCACAGTCCAAGGCGCAGTCTTTCATTGTAATCCAAGTTTTACTTCCACATGTAACATTCATTGCAGCTGACAAAGTTAATATCAAGTATTTTTAAAAAGTATTAGTCAACCAAAAATGATGATTTGTTCACACATAATTTCGCACTATATAATGAGTAAATTAGTTGATAGTTTCTAACAAAAACGGTTATTGGAGTCGTACGTCATCTACAATTCATCTTCCGTTACATTAAACATCGCAATATACTTCACGTTTTACACTCACCAGCACCATATAACGAGCATCTCAACGAGCATTCTAGCATAATTCATTGCTAAAGTTTAACATGAATACGAATTTTGATTTAATAATTTAATAGATTCGGTAAAGATAACGGATGATGACATGTTTCATCAGTAATTAAAATGTAAACTATGTAAATAATTGTATTGATCACAGCTTTACGTTATTTGTAAGTGATGATATAATTGGACATCGATGTTTACGGGCTACGTGTGCCAAGAATTTAAATAGTCAGCTGATTAACTCATTCCTTCTTGTAGACAGTGGGAAATTTTTCAATAATTATTGGTAATTCAATACTGTATTTTTTTGAGGCAACTGAAAAATAAACGTGATCGTTAAGTGATAATTTGTCTTATCGAGTCTAGTAAAACATCCGCAACATTTTTGCCAAAGTTTGATTGAAATGAGACCTTCTTTAGTCAAGTGCTGCAGCGCACAATAAGCCATATTTTAGCTCACAAGTAAATTGTGAACTCTAATTAGCTTCACATTAGCCGTCTGAATAACTGCTCTAAACTTTGAGATTTTCGACACTGCACAACAACAATGAGAAAAGTTGTCATTCACTTTTTGCAGAAAATTTTATTCGCTGATTTTGGGTTTAATTCGTCATTTGAGAAATTATTTCGATTTTCAAAAATGTTTGCTACCGAATACACAATAATTGTTAGCTTTAAAAAATATTGTGTAAAATTTGCAGATGTTAGCATGCCTCTTGCTTGCACTTATAGCAAGTTGTCAATGCTACACGAGTAACATTGTCTATTAAAAAATTATATCATTGTGGTCTAATTCAAAGATGATGTTCATCGAGGAAAAAAGATAAACATGCCTCATTATTCGTAATTTTACTGTAATAATTCTACACTACTATAATATTAACATTAATTGACAATATTTTACCAAATTTTCATCAATATATTTCCGGCTGCAGTATAATTAGTATGATCATCTTCAGTAATTGAAAATGTAGAGGGTTTTATCCCTATGTCACGTGTACAAATATAGGATCGAGTGACAGCGAAATACTAGACGAGTTTTATTTAAACGCCTAAAAATGTACATACTTAATAATCGATAAACGTGTATACTGAACAAATAATATTCATGAATACAGTCATTTATGCAGCTGGAGCAAGATCTTTTAGATCATCGAGTGTAAGATAGAATCTTCTCCATTTCTTTTGAAGAATGCTTAAGTTAAACTTTCCTCGGCAAACTGATTTAGTGTGAATCCGAATATGGCAGTGAAGATAATTCATTATTAAATTGGTCATAGGCTGGAAGGCTGCCCAGGCACACTCATGCTGCTCATCATGCTTAACGGATTGGCAAAGCCATTCTGCAAGTGACCTGGGAAAGTGTTGCCGAAACTAGAATTGTGTAGTCCGTTCGAAAAAGGATTTGGAAAAGCAGGCGAGAGTTGGTTCGCTAGAGGATTGTGGGCTAGCGGCGGGACAGCAGTTTGTGCTGCACCGCAAGACTGAAAGTACATATAGTAATTGTAGTTATTGGTAGGCTCTGTGTGGTTGTACTGGTACTGACTGTGGTAAGGATGACGAGGAAAAGCAGCAGCAGCTGTTGACATGCTGCTGAACGAGCCAAGCAAATCTGTGACGCTGTGCGAAGACGGCCAACTTGTCTGGCGCAGCGAGCAGGAGGACGGAGATGGACTTCTTTGGTGTGCAGGAGCTGATGCCGGAGATCCTGCCTTCTCAGAAACTTGATTGGTGTGTCCAATGTTATTATTATTTACAGGATTGTTGTTGCTAGAGGTGTTTTGATGATGGTTGCCTCGATGGTCTGGGTGAGTAGCCGTTGAGGGGATCGGAGTAACTGCTATTGGCGGAGTATCTGACGATGGAGTGGACGGATTGGAATAGGCAGGGTAGAGGTTCTGGTAGATGCTTGAGGAAGGCTTCACATCGTACGGGCCAGACGGAGCCATCTGGTGAAGAGAACTGCCCATCCTGTTACGAATTATCCTGTAGGGAAAATATTCGTGAGCTTATTGCACAATTATTCACTGTTCGATTGTTGGGTTTTACATAACAGCATGATACTATGAACACATAAATTTGAATGTTAGCGCACTCACTTTTTTTGTTTTACTTTTACCATCATTATATCATTTTACCACTCAAAGTGATGAACAATGCACTACTCGGGAGCCTTGACTTGAAATAAACTGAGGTCAGTGAGCATAGACCCAATTTTAATGATCGATCAGTTAATTCAACTATTTATCCATTTATCGGTGACGATAATTATGCCTCATACATACTGTAGGTAAATAACTTAGTAGAACGTTCTTCTTCCTATAAATAAAGACAACTATTGATAATTTATAACATGACAGTTTGATGGCGGATATGAATCTCAAATTACCAGCTGTACAGGAAAATGAATACTACATCCATTCCATAATGTTAATGCTACGAGCGGCTGACTATGAATAGATACCCACCTTATATAATTAGTTTTCTTAAATCGGAAGTTCACCAATAATTTAAAGGCAAATAAAACGTCAGTTAAATTCCCTATATCTTTATTGAACACGTTTTCAATAACGATATAGTGAATTTACTTGGTTTTTATTTGCTTTGAAAATCTTGATACCCACCTGGAGATGGATGATACGCTGGGTACGCTGTTCTTGTCGCACACGTTATCCTTTAGTAGCTTCTCTCGGACCTCCAAAGCTGATTAACAATCTTGATACGCACCTTGAGATGGATGACACGCTGGGTACGTTGTACTTGTTGCACACTTTGTCTTTCAGTAGCTTCTCTCGGATCTCCAAAGCTAATTAACAATCTAGATACGCACCTGGAGATGGATGACACGCTGGGTACGTTGTACTTGTCACACACGTTGTCCTTCAGTAGCTTCTCTCGGATCTCCCAAGCAAAGATGCCAGGGTCTTTCTGCTTGATGTTCTTGATGTAGTTAACGACTTTGGGTGTTGTGACGCGAGGCTTGCTGCCGCCTATAGCGCCCGGTCGGTAGGATCCTGTTTCGTTGTACCTGCTCTCCAGAATTTCGATTAGGTTATAAAGTAATACAGAATAATTATTATTTGTTTAATTACTTAATTTTCCCTCTTAACTTCCTCATTGATCAATAAAAATATAATATTATTATAATATAATAATAATATAATAATATAAAAAAATAATATAAAATGTCCATGTAATTTTTGTAACCCAAACCGGAGATTAATATGTTTTTCAATGGCGAATGACCATTTTTTGAACATTAACAGATTCTGAAAGTATCCGAGCCAATGTTTTTCATCTTCCCTTTTCATAGCAAGTTGATTTCTATATTTAAGACGAAAAACAGTGGCAAAAATAGACGGATTATTTCTTAATTATCATTATTCAGTGATCGGAATTTTTTATCATTATTGCAGGATTTCGGGAAGGATATTGCTGAATGATAGCTACCACGTTAAAAAATGTTAAATGCTGATTGTAAACATTTACGGTGAGCAAATTTAAGACAGGGCAGAGACAGTAGATGGGGGCGACGCATTAAATACATGAATATTGTGAATAACTCGTATAGCCTGTATATTATGAATACCACGAATACCATGAGTAGTGTGACAGTACCTGGCCAGGATCTTGGAGACGCAGCCATGAGACACTCGGAGCTGGCGCGAGATGTCGCAGGCGCGGATGCCGAGGTTCGCGAGTTCGATGATGCGGAAGCGGATCGGGTCTGGCAGAGGACGACCGTTCACAAACACTCCGCCCAGCTGGTTCACTTCCCCGTACTGAGAGATCTGTGGATCTGTAAGAAATTTCATGCTGCAAGCCTAATTTTAATTTACTTCTTATACTACTGCGAGATCTGTGGATCTGTAAGAAATTTCATGCTGCAAGCCTGATTTTAGTTTTCTTCTTATAGTATTGCGAGGTCTGTGGATCTGTGGGAAAATTTTACACACTTAGCCTGGTTTTTGGTATACTACCCCGTGAAGCGAGATTGGCATCGGTAGTGATGCTGCTAAAATTGGTACCGATAGTAAGGATTTTTCTTCACTTTTCAAGCGGCAAAATTTGCCGGCTTGGCAAAGAACTTCAACTAGATTGTGAGCCTTATTCTTTGATTTACTTCCTTCGTTGAGCAACTTTCGAAAACAAAATACATTTTTTCCCGCGGCAAGAAATTTTCTGAATCATTTCAATTAGGTCGAACAATTTCAGCCACATGCTGCTACCTCCCCTTCATACAAGATCATGACGATAAGCACATTAGTTTCCGTTAGTTTCACGTACAGTCGATATACGAGGTTCGGCTTTCAGTCGAATCGAGAATCCAATCATTTTTTAAATGAACCAAAAAAAGTAAGAAAAAAGGAAGAAAATGCCTTGATTAAAGTATGAACGTGAGTATATCATAACGGAATTGAAACACCGGAATAATCAATATTGAACGACATGACAACTCTAACGTAACAGAATCGCATATCCGCGGCAAGATCAAATGACATAAATGACGGTGATTGAAAAACGCCAACTGTGGTTATGCCAAAGAGCGAGCGATACAAAACTAAAATAGCTAGCATCCTCAGACTTTAAGACCTTTTCCATTGCAATTTAATCTCTTTCAAGCAGCAACCTTTAAAAAATTTCAAATATTGCCATTTAAAAATTACTTTTTTTAAGCTGCTTACTTTTTTCCGGCGGGTATCATTTGCTTAGAAATTTGTCTACTAGTTTCATTTCACCGTATACGATAACAATATGCACCCCAGGTGTTAACCCAGTAATCATGTCTCTAAGATTAATGTTCATTCCATGCGTGCATCAGTTGATGGCAAACTTGAGCAAATAAATTGCTGAATTGAAATTTGGTGTTCTAGAATCCGTTATTTTGTTTGGTGACATCCTGTTCCATATTGATTATATTTTCGTCTACGTATTTTGTAACGCTCATATACGTAGACGTACTGATACACGTATACGTATTTATATATAAAGCCCACCTTATCGGTGTGGCGTCTACGTTTAGATTCTGAATAAATAAAATCTAAATATTTCGAATTACATTTAACTGAAAAATTAGATTTGTCTGAATGTGGAAGTTACAATGTAAGTGCGACGGTGACTTCCAAACGCTCTTTCGTCAGCGCCAGCCAGACAACGAAACTTTAAACCGTGCAGGGAAGTGAGCTTGGATTTTTGACACTTCAATCAATGGTAACAAAGGCAATGGTAACAAGATGCGGCAATAATACCTGACTCTAGTTACTACTAACAATATTGTAATTCGCAAATATCACACACAAATTTAAATGTCACAATAAATAAAGTCAAGGAAGGTTCACCAACAGTGAAGTGCAGTCCTTCACGAATGACAGAATGAAAGTGCCGAGTATCGATGATCAGGTTAACAGGCTTCTTCTCTTAATGAAAATGCTAGTAAAATCGAAAGACAAAAACACTAATGAAAAAAAACTGAGTACAAATTCAACAAAACAAATATAAGAAATTGCTGTTTGAATGATCTCAAAAAACTGACAAGGAAAATCGCGGCACAAAAATTATTTACGCACGAGGCCCTTCTACAACCACCCTGAACACGACAAAAGTTGACGTCACACAAACTTGTAAAATTTTATTCATTGCACCAGAACCTCTTGTTACTCTTAATTATTAGAGTAAATGTTCATGTGTAGGAATTGCCATCCCGTTCTAATTACTTTTGTTCGAGAGCTGAAATAATTTAGACTGCTTACAATTGTTTTCTTTGAATTTATACTTATGTAACTTGAAACGATCTGTTATTTATGCAGGGTTCAATACTTAGACCGAAGAATTGGAAAAACGTCTTTTTTCCAAATTAAGTTGAAGATTATTTATAGGGATAATTCATAAACAGGACATTTTTTCTTTGTGACTAGATCAACCGGCTCTGCAAGCCGAGCAGGCAGAAGCAATTAAAGGAGAGCTGGGTAATTGAAATTTGATTTTTTATTTTCTGCAATTTATATTCTATTAAATAAAATAATCACCAATATTCTCTTTAAGGCTGGGAGTTTATGGAGAATTCAATGCTAAATTTCGGTTGGACGAGTTAAACATTCCGTGAATAATGTACCATTGTTGTGAACTTATTAAATAAATCCGAGATGACAGGGTTCTGGAAAACGGATTCTGGATGACGTGATTCGGAATGACCAAAGACCAGAATGATAAGATTCGGGTTAACGTTATTTTCAAATTACTGTGAGTATCCATCCTTGGCTTCATTGTGTTTAACCAGATAGTTTGAAATAATTTTTTTTCAAGCTTAGCATAGCGCAAAAATTATTTAGCAAAAAGATAAACATGCAGTGCAGTATTTGTGTCGATCCAGGCATAGTCAGGGATCGCGATGAAAAAGCTATCGCTACGTAAAATATCCAAGGATGATTCTAAAAAGCCCAATTGAATGCGATATTTTATTAGATTGAGCCACGCAGTTACGTATCACTAGAATTTCAGCCTAGCAAATGAAATCTAGGATAAACTGAAGCCAAGAACAAATTAGTCACATTCAAATATATCATGCAGTTCTCAAAATAATAGCTGTATTCGCAGTAAGGACCGTTTCAAAATAAAATTATTATTACAAGAAGTTGAAATAGATAGCAGGGTACTGTAGCTCCCGTGTTTATAGAAACTTGTTTCTCATACTATATTAGTCCCTTTAACTAATAATATAATTGTATCCCTTTAACTAATGGAAGAAGCCTCACTAATTATGGCCATCATGTTAGACGTAGGGTCAAGTTTCGATCTGTAAATTAAAAGAAGTTGTGCTGTTATTCTTCAATATGCAATAATGTGCATGATATATTATATATCAAATGATATATTTGTTTAATTCACAGCAGCCAGAAGCTCATAGAAGTTTATTTGCCAATCCTCCTGTGTTGTTCATTGTCATTTTAGAAATTTAAATAGGTTTTAATTGATAATATATGCGCGAAGATTGATATGAATTCTAAATTCAGCATAAATCCTTTTATTTTAACTCCAGAGAACTAAAAACCTACATCTTTTTTGCAAACACTTAGAGTTAGTGAGATGAGAGTTAGTCATATTACGAATTCCAGAAATTAACCCGTAGTATATGAGGAAGTGTAATTAATTATAAATGTCCCGTAATATTGAGCGTATACGTGCTGCGCTCCTAAGCATCCAATACTCGAATGATGTACAAATTAGTCTTCAAAATCTCACTTTGTTTTAGGCTGGTCGACGTATGACTGACGGCCGGCCTACTGGCGCAGGTACGACTCTAATTTTTATCAGGGACGAGTCACCGTCGAGAGATGCCGCAAGTTATTAAATTAGGTAAGCGTCACAGTCTCTATGAGACCATCGCTCACGGAGGATTAGATCTCAGCCAGCAAAGAGAGCGCTATCTCAACTGTCACTACTGTGCACTGCAGAGTGTGCACTGTTGGCTGTAGACTGTGCACTGTAGACTGTAGACTGTGCACTGTTGACTACAGACTGTTCACTGGTGACTGTTTACTGAGCACTGTTGACTGCGGACTGTGCATTGTGCACTGTAGACTGTGCATTGTGCAGGGTACAGACAAGCACCAGCCCTAATATAGCCCCTACAGCACCGATCATGCGAAATTGCTCCATAAATATATATGATTTTATTACGAATTTATTTGAAATCATGATTACCTTATTTGCATGCAATGAGATACGTGTAACCTTCTAATTAAAACGTAGACTAGTGAGTGAATTTAAACTTTTCAGTACAGATTCAATAATTTTGTATTTGATTTGAGCACTTCTATTCTTTTTACAGCACGTTTTTCTTGAACTTATTCAATAATTTCCATCGTGCTCAACACTTTTCAAAGAGATGATTGCAAATTTCATTTTACGTTTTGTATGAGATGTGATTATGAATTTATTGATAAGATATATATATGTGCCTCTCTTCAGCCAGAGAGGCATTGAATCTGCGAAATGCGTGCATTTTTTATTGTTTTCGTATTTTTTGGAAATCTTCTTAAAATACGAGAATGCTCACCTAGCGTTTTATAAATTTTGTTTAAATTGTGTTCATAAGTTTCCATTCATCTTATTTAATAAAACAATTTTTGACAATCATATTCACATCGCAAAGTTTTATATTTTTGAATGCCATTACCTCGATAGCCATCAAATAAGTTAGCTTGGAAGGCACCGACAAAAAAATCAATTAGGTTACAGGGACTGGAACTGAAGCAAACGCCTCTCTGAAATCATTTTAACAATTTTCAAGCTATTTAGATGTCGGAAGCCTCCTCTATCATGGCTATAGTGTAGATTTACTGACGTGCGGAAGATTTACGAATATTTTCATAATCACGAAAAATTATGTTCTCTGATAAACTATAAGTCAGTTGGTGCACGAGAGTCAACATTCATTTTTGAACATCTCTCCTTTATAAATCGAGGATCTTGTTTGAGTGTCATGTTGAAGTTTGCGGTCGTCGTGTTACGATTTTCTATGGAGAAGTAAAATGAGCGGCAATTATTTTTTCCATAAATATTCTATTAGATTTATTCATTGATTTTTATCTGTCTCTTGTCTTTAGACAATTCATGAACAATGGTAACAAAGGCAATGGTAACAAGATGCGGCAATAATACCTGACTCTAGTTACTACTAACAAAATTGTAATTCGCAAATATCACAAACAAATTTAAATGTCACAATAAATAAGGTCAACGAAGGTTCACCAACAGTGCAAATCAAAGTGCTTCACGACTGACAGAATGAAAGTGACG